ACTCATGATGACGTCCAGGGGGGAGCGCCTCAGGCTGCCCCCCCCCCGCCCCCGCGGGCCCTCTGAACACACAGGAAGTAAAGAAATAAAGAAATAAAGCCTGGAAAAATGACCCGAGCTCCTCTCTTAACTCATTGGCTGCCAAAGACGTCTATAGACGTCTTTTATGTTTTTCAACGAGAGTGTCTGGGGGACGATCTGCTAAAGCTTGTCCGTAAATATCGGCTTCTAGACAGAGTATGTAGTAACAAATTGAGCCTCTAGGGGGCAGTGCCACTTTTGATGGGAGATGAGCATAGACTGTAGGCAAATAAGAAAAAGGTAACGGTTCTATGAGAGAACATGTTGCTGGTGAGACGCAAGTCCAGGAAGAACGGAATAAGGTAGAAACACATTTTTTTTCCTGATGAAAGAAGAGAGTCTACTCTTTCTTTTGGTGTGTTCGGTGTTTACATAGTCATAGCACAAACTATTCTGTGGCTCTAGAAAAATCAGTCAAAATGCTCAAAAAACTCTGGCAGTATGGGACTCTGTTCTGAAAATGGCTGCCAGTCAATGAGTTAATGAATACAGTTTAGCTAAATACATATTTAATACACTGTTAATGATTTAGGAAAAATAAACATGCTCAAGCTTTGGTTGTAGATTAATATAATTTAGACTTTAAATCTGAATAAATACTTATGGAGGTACTACTAGAAACCAAAGCATTGTATTCAACTTTCTTATTTAAAGATCAACAGAAGCTGTGGTTCATTAGGATTCCATACATTTTGAATTCAGGAGAAATCTTACTAATTAAGAATAATTGGTGTAAAACTTAAACAAAAGTTGGTGTTTTGGTCCTCTTACCTGTAGCTTCCATTTGAGTTTGAGTTTAAAAAGGGAACAAAAGGTAGAAAATGTGCATGTAGAGCCTGAAAGGGTTTGTTTTTCATCAGTTTCCTGGAGAAGGAGACTCAGTCCAGCTTTACCTGGAAAAATAAATCACTGAAATAAAGAAAACCGAGCTCAGATCAGCTTATCAGGGCTCTGCACAGCTTACCTTTGCTGGGCTACACAAACCGATTCAACAAGTTGATCAAGATTAGTGTAAATCACCTTTTTCCCCTCGGAGCTTTTTACACCTGCCTGACGTCACGTCTCGTGCTCGTCAGGTGTCTGAACCCGGAAGTTCCACAACAGCTATTTGCTCTGGTGTCAGTTTGCGGGCTGTTAAAGTGCTAACATGATCTGTTAGTGCTCCAGATAGAGAATATATGAGTGGACATCTTTTTTATTGAATAAAAAAATATATGTTCTGTATATATGTGTTTAGCCCCGCGACCCCGTCGGAAATAGAGTAGATATTTGTTTAGATTAAAGCCTATTCTGTTCTCATTTCAGATTTAAGCACGCCGAATTAACATGAACGTTTTTCATTTTCATATTAACCATTATAGGTTCTGCTAGCTGTCACTGAATTAATTTGATGTAAAGAAAATTATAAATCTGCGGAATTCCAGCGGAGTTCCGCAGGTTACAGTTTTGTCTGAAAAGCCCTTTTTATTTTTATTTTGACTAAGAAATCTGTCGTATATTCTGTATCAAGTCAAAGGTTGCACATCCAAATCCCAACAACTATTTATTTGAACTATTAAGAGCTATTTCGGCCTTTTTGTTACTTCATATTTTATTAAATATTTATCTAAAGCTGACAATGCAGCCACCTGTTTCCTAGCAACGGCTCACTTCCGGTTTAACGGCAACTCGTCTAAAAAAGTTCGACCTTTTTCACCTTTAACAGCTTATTTTTGTAATATTTTTACCAGATAGAATTCACACTCCATTTATTTGACTTAATAATTAATATCATGACATCAGAAGAATTCTGACAGATCAATTCAATTTATTTTTTCTTGATGTTTTTCTGCAATTTCACGATTCAGAAATGTGAAGAAATTAAATATTTTATCATAATTAAGGTTGTTAAATATTAAGGCTCAAATCTGTGTTTTTTGTTGTCCCAGATTTTATTAAACTTTTACCAAAAGCCACAAACCACTCGTATCCGAGCAACAATTTACTTCCAAGTTTCATGGGAAATCTATTTTTTTCTCATTTAATAATTTAGTTCTTTGACTTTAAATGGCTTTCTTTTGTTATCTGTTGCCCTTTAGGTGGAAAACACCCACAATGGCTTTTTTTTCCAGCCAGGCTTTTTTCTGCTTTTATTCCTTTCCCCCCCCCCAATATTTGGTTTAGTCGACACATTTAATGCCTTTTCCAGGTGAATTTAAGGTTTTTTCTGGTAATCTGATGGTCAGGTTTCCCCTAACTGACTCGTTTAAACTCAGCAACTCCCCAAACAAACGATTAAAAAGCAAAAACGAGCCACCAGTGACCACAAGCTTCCCTCCAAAACAATTTACTTCAAGTTTCATGGGAAATCTTGTTTTTTGTCATTTAATAATTTAGTTCTTTGACTTTAAGTAGCTTTCTTTTGTTATCTAGACTTGATCTGTTGTCCTTTTGGTGGAAAACACCCACAATGCTTCACAGCCAGGCTTTTTTCTGCTTTTATTCCTTCCTTTTCCCCCAATATTTGGTTCAGTCGACACATTTAATGACGTTTCCAGGTGAATTTAAGGTTTTTTCTGGTAATCTGATGGTCAGTTTTCCCCAAACTGACTCGTTTAAACTCAGCGTCCCCCCAAACAAACGATTAAAAAGCAAAAAACGAGCTACCAGTGACCAGAATCTTCTCTCCAAACGTATTTTATTGGGTGTGAAATCTGTAGCAGGAGCAGGTTTGGGCTCCTGCTGTCTGCTGGACTGTTGTGGGAGTCTGAGCCCCCCCCCCCCTCCATCTTTAGCGGGGGGGGGGGCTGTAAGGTGGAC